GTGTTGTGTATTTTGAGCTTTAAAGGGGGCGTGCTGTGTATTTTGAGCTTTAAAGGGGGCGTGCTGTGTATTTTGAGCTTTAAAGGGGGCGTGCTGTGTATTTTGAGCTTTAAAGGGGGCATGCTGCGTATGTTGAGCTTTAAAGGGGGCGTGCTGCGTACTTTGAGCTTTAAAGGGGGCGTGCTGCGTATTTTGAGCTTTAAAGGGGCGTGCTGCATATTTTGAGCTTTAAAGGGGGCGTGCTGCGTATTTTGAGCTTTAAAGGGGCGTGCTGCATATTTTGAGCTTTAAAGGGGGCGTGCTGCGTATTTTGAGCTTTAAAGGGGGTGTACTACGTATTTTGAGCTTTAAAGGGGGAGTGTTGTGTATTTTGAGCTTTAAAGGGGGTGTGCTGTGTATTTTGAGCTTTAAAGGGGGTGTATTACCTATTTTGAGCTTTTAAGGAGGGTGTTGTGTATTTTGAGCTTTAAAGGGGGAGTGTTGTGTATTTTGAGCTTTAAAGGGGGTGTGCTGTGTATTTTGAGCTTTAAAGGGGGTGTATTACGTATTTTGAGCTTTTAAGGGGGTGTATTACGTATTTTGAGCTTTAAAGGGGGTGTATTACGTATTTTGAGCTTTTAAGGGGGAGTGTTGTGTATTTTGAGCTTTAAAGGGGGCGTGCTGTGTATTTTGAGCTTTAAAGGGGGTGTATTACGTATTTTGAGCTTTTAAGGGGGTGTATTACGTATTTTGAGCTTTAAAGGGGGTGTATTACGTATTTTGAGGTTTTAAGGGGGTGTTGTGTATTTTGAGCTTTTAAGGGGGTGTTGTGTATTTTGAGCTTTAAAGGGGTGTTGTGTATTTTGAGCTTTAAGGGGGGTGTTGTGTATTTTACAGGCACACCGTTGAACTCTATCTCACAGTCAAATAACTGTTATCTTTAGTTTTGAAAATGCTGTATTTATGAAAAATAAATGTAATTTTAAATCTTAGTCTAACTAAAAGCCTTTAAATTGTCGATTTAAGAAYCTCCTACTGTTTCAGACACTCCCACTTCAGCACGTTTTCACAGCAAGGCTTCGCGGGAGGGGTGCTTTGTGGGATGGGAGCTCTTCTGCAGACTGAGCTAAAGGGGGAAGTTTTGTGTAAATGGGCAGGGCTTTGTGTAAACGGGCGGAGCTTTGTGTAAATGGGCGGAGCTTTGTATCGTTAGGCGTTTAGGCAGCTCCACATGGTCACAGGAGATTCAAGGATTTCTCAAATCTGCATGAATGAGTCAAAGCATCACTGTGTGTGTTTGACGAGGGAATGACTTTACAAGATATAAAGCTCAAAAATCTGATTTTGCATAATACCCCCCCCCCTTTAAGCTCTTTAGATTTTTTACAAAAATGTACATTTGAGGTTTAAACAAACAGAATTATCCACTATAAACAGTGAAAGTGATGAATAAATGTCCTCTTTACAATAAAAACTGTTAAATTTAGTTTCAGAAACCAAAAKACTTTTACCAAAAAAGTTGTGATGGGAGAAGGTGACTGTGGAGTAAATTAAAATAAATATGTATTGGTTTTAATTTATAAAAACAAAATGCATCAGTGTTCCAGTAAGATCCAATAACTGCAGATAATTCTCCTTGTTTTAGTTTTTACACCTGTTTATGTTCAGACTGAGCCTGGCTGCAGAGATCTGAGCTGTCAATCATTACACTCGTCCTCTCTCCGGCCTGTTCTGTCTCTRCTTTGCTGGCGGTGACGACGTGACATTGAAGCCAGATGTGTTGCACAACTCGATCCTTCACGAGTCCTGCTGGCCTCACTCAGCGCCAAAACTCCAAGGTCCAACTGGAGTTAGTGATCTGTCAGAGCAGGGACAGTCCTTTCTGACCAGGTCAGCAGGTAAGATGGCACCCACTCTCCTCTGTGCTGCAGCTTTCTGATCCGTTTATTAATGAAACACTGGGACTGTTTTTTTTTACTACTGGCTTCTAGAAATAGATTTGTAATTTATGTGTGTTTATTTAAAACAAAAACAAAGTAAGTTCCTGGATAAAAGTTGCTAATCTAATTGTGCTGCTAAAACCAATTTTGTATGTTTATTGTAATTATTTGTGAGCCATCATATCGAAATGAGGATCAAGTCAAATTTAATCAAAATGACCTAATTACATTTTCAGATTCTTGTCTTTAAAAGCTACATTTTGATACCTGGATCATCCTGA